TGCACGTAAACACGTCAACTTGATATACTTGAACTATTACGAGTTTACCTAGTCGGAAAAACGAGAGCGAGGATCTAGGATCCGGCGACACGACATGCTACTCTAATCCGATTATCCCAACCCCCATATTTAATAAAAATAAGAAGATTTGATATGAAGTAGAATCTGTACTCTACAAGCATCCAGAAAGCATGAGGTCCGAATCCGGAAGAGAATCAGGATCCCGGACTAGGGATCCGGGACCGAGCCCTGGTCCTGGTCGTGGTCATAAAATGTTACAGATAATGCGTACTTATACATTTTGGTCGAATAGGAAACAGCATCGAATTCCGTGAGATTGACAGTTAAGACGACCAATAGGAAGTAACATTTGAAGTGTCATTGATAGTTAGGACAACCAATAAGAAAGAACATTTGAAATGACATGGACAATACGGCTGACCAATAAGAGAAAACATTGAAGTATTTGACTTTGACAGTTAAGACGACCATAATTTTGACCAATAATTCTCTTAGGATATTGGATGAATATCCTAACACGTTCACTTCAAACGCCATCACATTAATAACTTATAAACTGAAAGCAGATAGCCGTTGGTTTAATCAGATAGGTTCAGTTGACGAGTCCCAAATAGGACAAAACGCACTCACTGCTAACCATTATCTATCATTGTTTAAAATACTTGTAACTTAATGAGTATATGGAGTCAATCCTTTTGAGATGTATATAGGATAAATGAGACTGATCAGCTGCAGTTCTAACTGTCAATGGGAAGAGTCAAACTATCAGTACAAATGTATTTGTTATGCTCGTCAGTTGATATACATGAAACTATTACGAGTTGACCGTACTCGGTAAGCGACAGGGAAGACAAATGATGCAGTGACACGATAGTCTATTCTAATCTGTTTTCCCCGGCCCAGATTACTATATCAAGAAGTCTTGCTAAGGCGTAGAAAGTGTATTCTACAAGCACCCAGAAAATACGAGGTTGACAAGCACAAAAATCGAGTTTATTTATACATGATAGAAACGTCCTTGGCAGAGCCACAGAAATAGCGTACTAAAATAATACATCAGCCAATGACAGACTAGGATTTTCCAAAAAGGGAAATACAATCTCAAGGTCAACTGATCAGCCAGTGCTCGAAAACATAAAAGTCATTAAGTGAGTTTTGGGGGATCTAACCTCCCCAACAGTATTGTAAATAAATTCTATCAGATCTAAATAAAACACTAGGTTTTCGACATATCTGAATTCTAATATCCAATTTCACTTGTGTTAAAATAGTCCATAACAGCTAGTCATTTACTAAGTAATAATTTTTTTTTGAAATTTACCTTTTCAATACTTTACGATAATCTTCATACGACAATTTTTCTATACCCATCAATCCATATTCACGTAATATACGAACAATTGATTTCGATCGTTTCTTTTGAACTCGTTTAGCTAAATCTTTCGCTTTCTATAAAAAGGAATAAAAATAGTAAATTCAGAGAAAATCAATGAAATTATGAAAAAGAAAAGTGAGTAGTCATATATTTTTTAAATGTAATTTGTGGGTACAATAATTAATTCAGTAAATGAATCTTTTAATACAACTTTCCTTGTTCAACAACATAACGTATCTTGAGTAGTACATTCTTACTACAAACGTTTACTTTGAGATCGTTCAGAGTCTATAATCGAACATTTCAAGATAGTTGTGAAATGGCATTAGCCATCTACTATATATATATATATATATGGTGCGCGCTACTTGTAAGTAGTATATGACGCGAGTAAAAACGTAATGTCTGGCAGCAGAAGATGGGCGAAGATCAAGAAAGGAAGAGCGGGAACACAATGGAATTTGTGTGGAACGCATGAACAGTGAAATGTCAGACAATGGATTGATGTTTTGCAACAGGAACAGTCCAGTTCGATATGATGAAGTGATATTTTGCAAATTAACGAATTACGATATGGTTTTCCTATTTTACCAATTAACTCTGTAATTTGCGATTAAATACAATGCGGTTGCCTTCACCTGTATTCTCTTTCACTACATATATATATTAAAAGGATTTGACAATTGTTCAAGTTATCAAAATTTTGAATCATCATGTTTGACACAATGAACTCTCAGATAAACTTGGGAACTGAAGAAATATATGTGGTGGTGTTTCGTTCTCTGAGATGGATGTGTTATGGTTGTGAAGCTCTCATTGTTCTTCTGAACAATATCATCAGAACAAACTTCAGATAGAAGTGAAGCATTTGAATTTCTCCACGTTTGACGTGTATCTTGTTCTGCTTACCTCGATCTTGATTGGTTACTGTTGACCTCAAACCTGTCGTTACTTGCACCTTTGTTTCGATTGTATCCCCCTCTTTGATCTGTTTCTAGATCCTATGCCACCTATGATTTTCCCTGATTGGTTGATAAATTGGGTCAATGTCGATGTATTTGTTGATTGCTGATTGACCTGAGTGCAAAGCTTCTAAAAATTCTCTAGTGTTCTTTGTCCTCCCCCTATCCAGTATTTTTACATTGTCCCAATCGAATTAATGTCCATAATTGTCAGTGTGTATTGATATAAGCCCAGAATTGTTGCGGGGTTTGAATGCTAATCGGTGTTCTCGTAAACGAAGCTGAAGAAGCCGTCCAGTTTGTCCTTTCTAGTGGACAACTTCACTCGTTTATTTTCGATAGTGATTGCTTACACCTGACAGGGTTAAACTCAACTGACCAAGTCTTCTCACTAGAGCTCTTAAAATTTCCTCACGAAACTACTTACTAGTGAGCATATTGTACGATTATTTAATTAGAGTTATGGAGATTGTTAGACCACCATCATGATTTCAGAGATAAACGACAATGATTGATTGATGATTTTAATATGTAAATACAATAATCTCTATAACTCTATTTGAAAAAAAAACGTACTTTATTTAAATTATAGATTGATGACATAAGTTTCTTTTATTTAACTAATTTGTACGGAACTAAAATGAAGAACAGTGTACAAATTATTGATCAATATTAATGATTGATTGTTATCAATGCTTTCTGGTAGTGTCCATATCATGTGCTGCGTTTTGAGGGAAATTTTAAAGATTTTTCATGTTTAATGTCAAATATAGAAATCAGTGAGATCATCATTCTACAGTATTATTCACTTGCATATTTCCGAAATTCTATTCAACGTCTAAGTTAATTAATTTCTGGAACATTCGTTACTATTTTAAATTAGTTTTAGAAAAAAATGTCAGTGATCTAACTTGTGAAGAGTGTTTCCTCATAATGATTAGTATTTATGGCTCTCAGTTATCTCATAGATTCACTATTTTAACTAATGCTTCTGAAAGTTTGACCAACTTGAAGATAATTTTCGTCATAAGCTATAAGATACGATGAATATTCACTTAACATGGAAGGGTGAAAAGAAACTTTAACAAATTTGAATATTCTGGCCGAATGCTAATAGTCAACAACTAGTCTGTATTCAGAGTTGATCTATCTATACAAATACTCGTGTTTAACTTATTCAAAACGATTGTTTTTAACAAGTGACATGTTTTATTCGTTTGTGAAAGTACAGAAAAGTAAATAGCTTTATTAGAATATTCGCTAGGATAATCCTATGACATTTTCTGTAATTGGTATTAGGAATTTTTATGAAATCTGTAGATTATTCATAAGGATTTGAAAAAAGACATTGACATTAGCAATCAAAACACAAGTTATATTCTCCACGTTTAAGCTCAGTATTAAAGAGACAATCATTAAATTTTGTATAAATGAGCTTTTCTGCTGGCTGGAATAGATTTTTCATGTTGATTTGTTGTTACTACTTTAATTGATTTGTTAGTAGTATTTACTAGCAAATTGTTTAAAATAAATCCTTAATTGTATGATCTTTTAATTTTATGACAGTCAGTCGGTCAGCTAGAACGCAGAACTTTGTACGTACATCAATTCAAGTTGTCATAACACATTAGTAGACAGAGATGGAACTGTCGATCCCAATCTCATAGTGGTAGATGTCAGTCGAAGTATTAGCGGTTAATTTTATGTCACTTTACAGTAAAAATAACATTCAAACTGTTACGCCTGCACGTAAACATGTCATTTGATATGCTTGAACTACTACGAGTTTACCGTAATCGGAAAACGAGAGCGAGGATCGAGGATCCGGTGACACGACATGCTACTCTAATCCGATTATCCCAACCCCCAATTGAATAAAAGAAGAAGACTTGATATGGTGTAGAACGTGTATTCCACAAGCACTCAGAAAGTACGAGGTCGAGTCCAGAAGAAGACACAGATTCCATACTAATGATCCGGGTCATAAAATGTTACAAATAATGAATATTTATACAGTTAGGTCGAATAAGAAACAACATTAACAGTTAAGACGACCAAAATGAAAAAAACATTTGAAGTGACATTAATAATCAGAACGACCAATAAGAAACAACATTGAAGTATGTGACATTGATATCTACTAGGACGACCATAAAATTGACCAAGTAGGAATCGACCAATAGGATTTACACTTACAAACTGATTCTTCGTTGGAAATTTGGTAAATATCGTAACACAAAAACATTCACCTCATTATAACATGACATTCACAAATCAGCAAAATATTTTCTTACTTTTTTAAGTATATGCCCCAATGTAATATCATTTTTCTGTTGAATTAATTCAGCTTTCGTTGCTTTATAAGATTCATCAACAATAGCAAGAAACATATTTAATAAAACAAAAAATACAAAGAAAACAAACGTGACAAAAAATATCGGTCCCAGAACAGGATGTGCATGTAGAATTGATGGAAAATCAATATCACCAACCATAATACGAAATAGTGAATAACTGTAAGAGAAAAAAAAGGATACAAAGATAAAATATTGAAAATTGAACATAAAAAGTGTATGGTTTGAATCAAATCAGTTATTGGGGTGATGATGTTAACTATATTGAGTTAATAGATAGATCTCTAGAAAGTAATTCAATGCAATAATTAAACTTATTTTGAAATGTAACTTTGTAGAGTTCATCACTAGGTACGCTTGAAGTTATTACGAGTTCACCTTAGTTGATAAACGCGAACGAGACAATCAACCAGCATCCAGGTAGGCTACCTTGAATTCCCAACTAAAGTAAGAAGGCTTTGTAAGCGTAGAAAGCATATTCTACAAACACCCAGCAATCACAGTACAATCAAGCACACAACTCTCGTTTATTTATACATAATAGAAACGTCCTTGGGACAGTTACGAAAATAGCACACTAAAATACACAGCAGCCAATCACAGACATGGATTTTCCTGGTGGGAAATGAAATCTCAAGGTCAATTGATCAGCCCATGCTGGCAAACGTGAAATCCAAAATAAGGCATTTAACAAGCGAGTTTTGGGGATCTAACATCCCCAACAAACTTTTATAATGCAGATATTAACCAATGATAGGGGACGAATTAGTTTGGTGAACTGATAGTTCAATTACGTTGAAATTTTCATTAACCTTGATGGATTGATTCGTGGAGAAATTTCAGCACTAAATTAGCAAGTTAGTTAACGTTTGTCAAATAGCGCTACATGTAGGGTAGGTGAGATATCCGTTTGCCAACCGCGGGGTGTATATACTGTACTTCAATTTTCTCAGCATTACGTTACGGTTGTGAAACATGATATGGGAAAGTAGAAGACATGTGTAGGCTATAGGTGCTTGATCATGGGAGCCATCAAAATGTTGATTGCCTGTAATGGAACAAACGAATCATCAACGTCGAGGTGAGATTTAGGGAACTAGAGAAAGACCTCGTCTATTATTCGCACGTAACCTCGTGTGTTTCTATTTAGGTGTGCGAGCAGCTTATAGCTTATCGTATGTCTGGTCTGTTTTTGTCCAACTTCAAATAAGTAGTCATACTTCATTTCACTGAGTTTGTTTGCTCGCCTTCTCCACCTCGCTTCGCTTTGCCTTTACGCTTCGTATTCTCATGAATGAACGATTACATGAAATAAATTCATCCGCGAAACCGTGATTACCTTCTTATTACCACCATTGTACAAATGGCGTTCGCCTAAATTTAATATACGTAAACTGAAGAGAAGATTTATTTCATAGCATATTTAACTGTTCGTCCGAAAGAGACTCAAATCAGGAGCCGACAAAGTGGTGAGCCTTATTTCGAATTTAACACAGCCGTCAAAACAGTATATTGGTCGATGAGGTTGTACATCTTCATCCACTGAGATGGTTAGAACATGCCTAACTACCGCCAAAGTCTACGGGGGATGCTACCTGGTGTGAAAGTAGGTTAGAAAATAGCTAATGGCCACCAAAACAAGATTTGATATCATTCTATAAAGCCACTGATTAGTGATTTAAACCATGTTGATAAATTCAGATTGTCTGGTTTGGGTACTCATGACAATTCTGACCAGTGGTTGTAGATTTTGAACAACATGGCTCAGACTCATTTACAATGACGTACACGCATTAATTCTACTTGACATTATGAATATAAACAACACCATGACACTAAGAATTGTGGACAAATTTAATAGATTCCGTTCAAATAACATTATTATTGCTGTTTTGTACTATGTTCCTGTTGGGGATGTTAGATCCCTAAAACTCGCTTGTTAAATGCCTTATTTTGGATTTCACGTTTGCGAGCATGGGCTGATCAGTTGACCTTGAGATTTCATTTCCCACCAGCAAAATCCATCGCTGTGATTGGCTGCTGTGTATTTTAGTGTGCTATTTTCATAACTGTCCCAAAGACGTTTCTATGATGTGTAAATAAATAAACGAGAGTTGTGTGCTTGATTGTAATGTGTGATTGCTGGGTGTTTGTAGAAAATACTTCCTATGCTTACAAAGCCTTTTATCATCAGCTTTGGATTTAAGGTAGCCTACCTGATCGCTGGTTCATTGTCTCATTCGCGTTTATTGACTAAGGTGAACTCGTAACAGCTTCCAGCGTACCTAGTGATGAACGCAATAGTTCCTTATTTTCTAATTGGCATAAGAGCCTAATATAAAACTGGTATTTATATTCAGATGAATAAATCAAAGGTCGAATTGTGAATTAATCATTTCCTGATACAACTTATTTATGCAAATGCTAACTGGCAAAAATACCTACTTATGAAGTTTCTTGTCAATAAATTTCAACACAATTAGACATTGAAAATAAATATAAACATTTTGTTTGAATTTACTAAACCTAGTGGCAATATTTCAACTTAATTAAATAAGATTCAATGTGGAAACATGGCAAAGACTAACTAATAAACTTATTATGTTCTTATGCATTTATATACTGATATCATGAATTGATCATTGGTAGACTCTAATTGAAGAATCGTACAGTGTGCTCACTAGTGACTAGATTCGTAAGGAAATTCTCAGAGTTCCAGTGAAAAGACGTGATCAGTGGAGTTGTAAGCCTTTTCGGGTTTAGGCTGTCACTATCGAAGACAAACGGGTAAGGTCTCACAAAACCCCTAGATTGATCAGAGTTAGACATTAACAGTGTTGGATGCCGACCTAGTGGTTCAGAGGTTTGGCATTCACGTGCTGGGTTCGAATCCTGTCAGTAGCAGTAGTTTTTGGTGCGCGCTGCTGATGAGTACCATACCAGGAAGAAACGGCTCTCTTTCAGTGCTTCCAGATTTCTAACAATGATCGCTTGATGATTATAATATAATGAGATAATTTTTTATTATGATAATTAATTATACTACTACTACTACTACTACTACTTACGTCGTTTGAGTAAATGAACTATATGCTAATGTTCTTGCACTGAATGCTAAATAACCCATTTGTGCAAAAGCAAAATATACAATACAAAACATAATTAAAAATCCCAATAAATCATATGCAGCTATACTCATTGTACGTGTTAATTGATTCAATGAACGATCAATGGTTAAATATTTGAAAATCTATATATATATAGAATTGAAAAGAAGAAAAAAAATATTACAGAACTAATGAAAATGAAGTAAAACAGTTTGTGAAATTAGTAATATCTATGTCAAATTGATCAACTGGAAAAAAAAAACTTTGTAAGATTATTGATTTACTATGTAGGTAATATCTCCACAATTATCCTCAGTTATGTGATATCAAAAAAAGTGTATCAAGAGAACAGTATGTTCTGTGTTTAATGGTTACGCTGAGAGTTAATTGATGCAACACGTGAACATGGAACTGATCACTCACTTATTGATATAAATATCTCACTCAGTTCTATAAGAGATAAGTTATGGTCCAAATTACTCAATGATCATGTCATTAACAATGAAATTGGGTGATAGATTCTGCAACATATGAAGTGTCACTTCTCTTATGATTGTAGATATGATGCTTTAAAAGATATCAATCAGTATTAATCGTAAGTCCATTTGTGTGAACTGAAATACACAGTATTGTCAAACCGCTGAAACTAGTGGTCATATTGAAATCTAGTTGAGGTTTGAATAACATTAAATTGATGACCTTTAGGTGGTCGATTAGTTAAAAAGCTAAAGAATGACATAATTCAGTAAGCTAACTATTCACAAGAACTCGGAGTGATAGTTAGTGATTTCGTTTTCATTTACACAGATACATAAACCAATGTATGCTTGTGAGATGTGGAAACTTTGTATGTCATCAAGAGGGTATACAACTTAACTGTGAAGATTTCATCGTTTTTTCAGATAAACAACATCAAAATCTTCTGTGGAAAGCATTCGAACTAATATTTTGTTTTACTTAACCCTTAAAAGAAAACAAGTTAATTTAAATATTAAGGAGGATAAACCAGTCAAACTTTTACCTTGTAATACATTAAGAAAAATTCGATGTCACATAGATAAATATCTACACTTGACCTTTAATTTTTTGCAATTTGTGAAGAAATCATGAATCGGTCACTGTTAGACCGCCATAAGAAACCTGGAAGTACTAGATGGCGCTTTCATTTTGGTATGGGAATCATCAGCAGTGAGCATCCACGACTCATACACCTCACAGAATATGAACCCAATACCTTCGGCGTTGCACGCGAACGCCTAACCTCTGGACCAGTGAGCTGACCGCACCCGACGGTATTAATGTCTAACTTCAATCAACTCACCGTCTTTCCCCCAATCTCATCCACTGTCTTCGGTGAGCACTGCTTTACAACAGAACGGGGGTTAACATATTGTTATCGAATTGAGATAACACAATAATTTTCGACTTATAAACAAGTTATTAAAAACGATAATCATTCACTCAAATATTTGTTGTGATTGAACTACAAAGGAATACGTTTGTATTATGATTTTGACAAATTTATCTCAATACATCTTATTTTAATATTGTTAAATTATACACCTAAACAAACAAACAAAGATTATTTCTTCATTGAATTAAAAAATTCAATTCAATAGAATCAAAAATGATCAACTAACTTTGATTATACCAAGGAAAACACATATTGCCATAGATCTAATATAATGACTATACCAATAAGCAAGATAATCAAAATTTGGATAAGATGAAATATCATTAACCAATGTAGACATATTGTTTGAAACAATAATTGTACTGTAAATTAAAAATCCTGCACATATTAAACTAGCTACAATCATTGCAGCATCCATTAGATTCCAGATATTGATAAAATATTTCCAACGTTTCACTGATAACTTAATAATGAATTATTGAATAAAAAGATAGAAAGAAATAAAGAAATGTAGTGTAGTAAAACAATGAGTGGGTAATATATTTTTTTAAATAAATAATTCAAGACTTTTTTGTTCAATGTTGAACTGTTTTTTAGAAAAAAAACAAATCTTTCTTTGAAACCATGAATCGACGATCA